ACGCCATTCCAGCACATGTCAATATATCCATCGACTCACTATCCCGAAGCTCGAATGAAGCTACTCGGTGATTTGGATCACTGCGAAACATCTTGGAAACGTGGCCGGCCCCGGAGAAATACTCAACCATAGTGAACCTCATGTCCACGTTGATGTTTGTAGTCCAGCCGAGAAGTAGCACTATGCCCAACAATACCTGATCAGAGAGGTTGTGTGGGGTTTAGGGACTGGTGTAGGGATATTTGGTACATGGGGTACATGGCTATCACAATCACCCACGTATCACGGCCTTCGGTGCCCCTATTTGCGCCAAGCTTTGGATCACGCTGGATTTCCTTTTCACCACCATAGCTTCGCAAACGCGGGAAACGATCCAGGAGCTTGAGATCAACACTGCAATTGTGCTGAAGCTGCCGGAAAACATTCGATCGAGAAGACTACGAGGCAGGAAGCGAACGGGTATGGGTTTGCAGACCGACTACGTCGTTCAAAAAACATGTCGGTGTCACTTTTGGAAGCTGCTCTTGTCGCAAAACGTTCAAAGCGCGGCATCAGTACCTGGAAGCGCATATTGCTCGGGTCAAGTTTACACTTTTGATCGAAGTTTCAAGATCGATTGTGAAAGAACATAATTAAGACTGAATCTTCGCTGAAAGTGGCACGCAGGCAAGTAAGAGGCAACAGGTGTCCGTATCATTTTCCACTGTGAGGTTCCTTTAAGGATTGGATCCAGCTAGGTTGGGCAGCATTGCACCCCACGCACAACCCTTTGTGCGTGAAATGATTGTCAATATCAATCCGTGCCAGGTTGGCACGCCCATCGACTGGACAAACACGGGTGATCGAAAAAGCTACCATCTCCCAGCATCGTGGGTCATTGCCTATAGAATCCCATGTAGCCCCATCCTGCTAGCTGGTCTCCGCGTACGCCTCAGCTTCTTGGTGAATGGTGATGTACCACTTGAGGCCGGGGCCTGAAAGTCAACCAAAGAAACCTCCCCGACCCTATAGCTGTTTTTTTGAAGTCATGTGCAACTTCATTCAGGAAGACTTAGAGTACATGACATCGTAGCCATCTTACGGCTTGGCATGACACTGCAGCCCTGCAGTTAAAAAATAGCGCACATATGAGCTTTACGGAACCCACGAAATGCAAACAAAGACACCTTCTTTGCAGCTGCTTTCTTGTCCTCATGAGAGCCCTTGGTAGCCCTGAATGCCTTGTGGTATGCAGCAGACTTCCTGCTGTACTTGGCCTTCTTCTCCTTCTTAAGCCTGTTCTGTTTTGCCATCTCAAGGCATGCCCTAGTTCTTTGTGCGGGCGTGCTTGAAGCTGCATTTGGCTCGGATTCTTCTTCTTCTTCTTCTTCTTCTTCGCACTCCTGTTCATCATCATTGGCTCGGGTGCTTGGCTTTGGCTTTCCTCCACGTGTCGGGCCCTTTGAGGTCTTTTTGGATGCTTCCTTGTCAGCGCCATTCCCATCAGAGGTCTTACCTCGCTTGGCCTTTTCGCCGCAAGAGTCATCCTTCTTCCTTTTCTTCTCCGCTACCGGTGCCTCATCATCGTTCACTCTACGCTGACGCTTCTTCTTTCCCTGATGCTCCTCCACTGCTGGATCATCATCCTCGCGATCAGGTGTGTTGCCATCCTCTTCACAGTTCTTGTCACGTGTCTTGCCTCTGACACGTTTCTTTGGCGGTGCACGTTTCTTTTCCTTGTCATGTTGCTCGCTTTTTTTCTTTGCCTTTGTGGAACTTGAAGCCTTGTCCTCTTGAGAAGCTTCATCATCCGCCTTTGCCTTTGGCTTTCGGCCACGCTTTTTGGGTGGGCATTGCTCTTCTGGACTGATGCATGGTTCTTCATTCCATGAAGCTGGCTTGGATGGAGAAGCAGCGTGAGCCTCCGTGGCGACCAGGCAATTTGCCTTGGGTGCTGAGCTCTTTACTTTCTTGATTTCCTCTCGGGTGATCCAAGTAGTGGCCCGGACCTGCAAGGCTGTCTTGCCTGTGACACAAGTCAATTTGGACATCAACTCCTCCTGAGGGTTTAGCACTTTGCTGGTGTCTTGCGGTTCCTCCGGGACACCGGCAAGACCAGTTCCCAGAACCGATGTCCAATCAATCATTTTGCATACATCCGGGTCAAAAATGTTGACCAGCTGCTGAACGATTGGTACATCCCAACCTGGTGGAATGATCAGTTTTGGTTTGCGAGCTTTCATGTGCTTTTCATCATCGTTCTTCTCAGCATCAGCTTTGGCCTCCCCAGCCAGGGCACTTGAAATCACCGGTTTCTCAACCTGATCCCCTGGTAGCAGCGAACTCTGCTGGTGCGGCTCTGGGCTAGCTTGATGGGGTACCTCACCATCAGGCTTGGTGAGCACGACAGGTAAGGACTCCTCGGTGAAGTTCAGGAACATCGGCTGCGTCTCCACGTTGTCATAGCCTTGGCCGGAGAATGCCGATTATATAGTGTGAGCGGTTCGTTAAAAATATCGGTAGTGACCGTGACGTACTAATTGATCTTAGGAACAGGGTCCGTTCTTTGGTTGAAGCTTCTGCAACTCCAAAAGTTTACGCAGCTCTAACAGCTGATGCAGCTTGGCTTGAAGCTGCTGTAGCTGATCGAACTTCTGAAGCTTTGTGTTCGCGTTGTCCACTTTGTCCGGCGTCTCATCAATCACATTAGAACGGCCTTGCACTGTGACTGCGCTGCAATGTGTTAACTTTATAATGTCGACCATATATCTATATATGTAACTATAGATGTAACTAGTACCGTGGACAATGGCATTTCAGGATGCAACTGAAGGATTTCATTGAACCTAAAACCATATCTTTGTTGCGCTGGTTTGTTCAAAACCCTGGGCAGATAGGGGAACCTGTGTAGATGGCGCAAGTTAGAGAAGGACCCCCAACCCATGCTTTGATCCAACTGATGGCCTGCAGGCGGAGGCGTGACAAGCGCTGGATCCATCGACTCAGACTGGGCACTGGCAGCTGAAGGTGGCGGAGCCTTGGTTTCGCTAAACGGTGTGCTCACCATGTGCGTGCAGCACGATCAAACGATCTTTTGGGACACATGCGCACGTGCGTTCAAGTGACAGGGGATGGCTCAACAGGAGGTGCAGGAACATGGGATGGGTTGGGAGGTGTCTCCTCCACTTCCTCAATACCTTAGATCGATCATGATTCTACCATGATGCACATTGTACAGGACTGATCAGTTTGCACGGCATGCAGGTTCAACAAAAGGGGAAAAACTTGAAATCAACTGCCCCTATGATTCTAAGGGGCATGGGTCTTCCTCTTCCTGTTCAGTTTCTGGGCACTCTGAACCTTCACCTCCCTCCTCTTCTTCCTCTTCTTTTTCACCTTCACCAACCTCAACCTCTTTCTCCAGATTCTCAGCGGAAGCAGGACCATAAAGTGAAAGGTCCACACCTGTCCCTGAGAGGATCCGGCGTAATGCCGGTTCCCGCGGCAAGTGTGGCCGCCGGCACACGTCGTTGTACATCGACATGAGGCGACGAAGGAACCAGGCTTGTGTGTGCACAACTCCTCCTCAGTCAGTGGCAAGGGCGAGCAAGTCACCATGTCAAAGTCCCATATACACAACTGGTCATCCAAAATGTGTACATACATCCAAGGTTGTGTACATATTTCATATGCATCTTAGGCACCATCAATGGGTATCTTCATCATGTCGTAGAGCGCTTTCAAGTGATGATAGTTGGTATCAACACCGACCCTTGAGCCTATCTCATTGATCGCGTGGACTAGCACATCCTCATTCGCCACCATTGAATCGCGGGTCACAACAGGTCCTGTTGTCACAACCTTGGAGCAGGCAAGAGCCATGCACTACAAAGACACATCCAAGATACATTAAAGCATAGAAAACTAGCCTAACAAACATATTCTTTGAATCAAGAGACCGCTTCAAGTCTCCTAGCTCTTTCTCTCACCTTCTCATTCCCTTCCCAAATTCGTGCCAAGTCGGTTGCCATGGCAAATCGCTACCGTTGTAAAAGCGTACTGAGCCGAACCCTAGCTGAATGGTAGGCGCAATTAGCGCTAAAGATTCAACATGCAACAACTACGAGTAATGCCAGACAATGGGGCACCACAACGCCAAGCTCTTGATCTCGTAAGGCGAAGGTCCCAGCGAAGCCTGAGCAGTGATACGGTGGTTGGCATGATGGAGTTTGGAATGTAATCATGGAGCAAACTCATGGCGCATGAACTCCAATAGCTAGACATCTAATTATGCAGGCTCTCAAAATTGCAGCCAAATAACGTTTCTCATGAAGAGCTCGCCGCAATCACCAACATCTCATGGCCTCCTTGGCCGGCGATGCAACACCAAAGGATTATGGATGGGGACATGCAAAGCTGCCATATGCAATAATGGGATCGCAACATATCGCAACATTAAGATCGCGATCATAATTTTTCCACGCCACACACGCACTGAATTTTGACCGAGAGTCGGGGGATGGGGCCCAGACAAAGTGCTCAGCCACTCATTGAGCCGAGGAATCTTCGAGATTGCGGTGGACTTTGTGCGCACCAAAGCACACAGCTTGGTTGCACTGGGATCGATGCTGGGTACTGGGTTCGATCATGAATTGGGTTGTAATCCTGGTGCCAAAAACCAGTCGACTTAGTAGACTTAGTAAAGTTCAGCGATTTGAGTAAGAACCAACCGCTTTAACCAAGAAGACGATCACTTCACAAGTCCACGCTGAATTCTTATGAGTTCGAAGGTCCAGGTATGCATATTATATATATATATATATGGAGTCAGTCTGAGTCAGTCTACGGGAAACCTTCAGTTGAAGAAGCTTCCAAACTGCTATAGACAGTTGGGAAAAAAGGTTATCCTCTACCAAACTCTACCAAGAAGACTCTATATATATCAGTTTCCAAGTGTAGTTGAGGGATTGCTGCGGGTAGGCGTCTCCCAGCATCTTTCGATCGCGTGTCGCGTCTGGCGCCTGGCAGCTGGGCCAAGCGTTTGGCGTTCTCCTTGTCGACATCACGATTCAGGCCTTGCAGCCAGGCGCCCAAGGATGCGACAGGACAGGAGATCTTCTCTAGAGACACTGCCTGGTTACGAACGGCACAGCCTAGGTATGCCAGTGCACATGGTCGAATGTACTGTGCACCTGTTGGGAAAGCACTAGCAGCAACTGGCAGGAAAGGTAAATATCACAAACAACAGGCTTGTGAAGTCTCAGGTTGGCGGAGTACGGTTTGTTGGAGCAACCGTATCTTGCAACAGTATCTGTGTCAGAACAACTAAATCGGAGAACACCTCAAATCTTGTGGGCTGTGGAATCATGCCATTTTGGAATCACCCATGTGTCGACGTGCTTTTTTTTCTGCGGTCTCCCCTTCTGCGGAAAGCATTTGCCTTTTTGAACAGTTCCAGCTAGGATTCAAATGTTCCGTTTCTTCTTTGGCAAAAGTGCTTGAATAGTTCCACATGGAGCAACGGCCAAGTCCAGCTTCATCTGTCAGTACCCATACAAGGGGGTGGTGAATGGACACCATCTCTATTGGCGCTTATTCGCTCCAGAGAGAAGCTCTGCTTCGTGAAAATCGCCTTCCGGAGCCACGATCTGCGACTGTAGACTGTGTAGACTGAGGACCATGGCCTGAGGTTTCTCAATGCAAATGGGGGGGTTATTAATCAAGAGTCTAGAGACCATTAGACCCCAGACCGATCTCCATCCCAAAAACGTCTCTCCTCAACGAAGGAAGCTGTCTAACCGGACGTTCCGAATCAGACGTTTCGTGGCAAAGCGCCTTTGGGCCAGGGTCATGGTCCGCGGAATTCGCGCGGAATCCGCGCGGGTCGCAGGGTCTCGGGGTGTCCCGGCAATAGAGCTTCGTGGGTATGATGCCATCCCTCGGTGACGGCTTCACCTTGACCTGGGGCGCCCGCTCGTATTTCGGCCGAGTCGAGGGACAAGGGACGGGTGGATGGGGGTCTGCTGTCCACATCCGTCTGGAAATTCGTTGGAGGTTTGTTGGGGGGGGGTTGGTTCGGATGGATCCAGTGATTCTCAGCAGTCAAATCGGAGGGATCCAAGTCATCGGATGAGGGACTTATTATGGACCCCGTGTTTGAAGGGATGTCATGGGAACTGCCACTTAGAACAGCCTACTGAGTCAATTATTCACTTGGAAGAACTTGGCCAAGCACACTCTGCATATTATTCACTGCTGCAAATGGTGTCTGATCTCAATCGCATCAAGGACTCCTCTTGCTCTCGGGCTGGAAGATCATCAGCCAGGTCAAAAGTACCCCCACTTTCTCTTCCCTAGAGTCAGTGAACGACGCATGCTCTGGCTCAAAAGACATCGGGTACCATCCAGTCATCCACTCGTATAGAGGACAAATGGTGCAAGACCATGTCTCTGGGATGTCCCAACCAGGTCTGACGATGTGTGCCTCGCTCGTCATGCCCAGTTCCCCGGTTCCATCTAAGCTCTTTACATTGCATCTGGTCAGCATGGCCTTCGCTTTCGCTGACACAATGCCTAGTCTCATCTCATTTAAGACCTGGCACAGGAAGAGATGTGGCCCAAGGACTAGGACAAGCTGGAAGAGGAATGCTAGAAGCATCTATAGAATCTAGAAACATCCCTTTGACGATCAGCTCCAATTGCATCTGAGTTGGCTGCTGCTTTCTACTTGATTTTTCTTTTCGACATCCAAATGAGACTCATCATGTATCAATCCAATCCAAACCAGGTCCGTCACGCTCCTGACCTTCGCAGACCTGTTGGTCCAAACAGGAGTTGGTCAATCAAACCATCAAACGGCCCTGGAAACGGCCTTTCCCCAGCAGAATGAGTGTCAAAATCCGTCTTTCTCACAGATGGACCTGCGAAAGCACCAGTCGCCTGAGTTGTCGTTGTCTTTTTTCTCTGGGGAATGAGCACCCAGCACGTGTTTTCTGTGTTGGTGTTTCCCACACCAACGTATTAACAAAAGACATCCCCCCAAAAGCCAATGGGTTCGTGTCCACTGCTGAAAGGAATTTATTCTTCCAACCCCGAGCACGTCTGCCGTTCCGGCTGGTGCCGGGGCGCCTCTGCGAAGGCGCCGTCGCCCTGCTGCCGAACGGCATCGCGCAGCAAGACAGTGCCGTCATGCAGGTTGGCCTCCGAGAGCACCGTTCGATGCGATCCGAGGTGAAGGGCAGCTGATTGACTATGAACTGCGTACCGCCCTGCCCGTTGATTTCAGACATTCACACCCGGATCTAACAATTCCATGCAAAAGGTCAATCAAAGACAAATACTTGAGACATCATTGAGATAGACAACATCAAAAGGACCCTTGAAGCCGGTATTGTTCTGATACTTTGGAGATCTGAGAACGTGTATTGATCTGAGACACGTTCTCTTTGGCCCACCAGGATTCCAATCGATCCCCTAGGCCTTTTGCCAAGCCTTCGCCGTAAAGCAAAAGGCTTTCGTCGAGCGTGCGCCACGCTCCTGACCGAGCTCACTCTTTCTTGACACGAACACCGATGGATAAATGGAACTCCGGATGATACCGGTGAGGCCGTCGGTCATTCATAATCAATGAAGCACTGCTCGTCCATTTAATGGATGATCCTACATGAAGGGGCCCTTGCCCCAACAAAATCCCAATATGAAGTGATATATTAGCAAGCAACCCTAAAGGGGTCTATATTTGAGAAATTGCCTTGGCCTTGGTTGAGACCGTCACAACTCACATTGGCATGCTAAATTACGTGCGAACAGCTTCAGCCAGATGTATACCACACTCATCCACACTCCATCTAATCACCAAATAATCACATTGACTACATTGTGCTGTTGCCAGGGTATGCTGTCTGCTGAGATTCTATTTCGTTGCCTTCCACACTTGCCACACAACCCATGGCTGACACCACCCGGTAGCACCTGCACCGGTGGCAGTTGGAGGAAGTCTCCACAGAAGATCACCTGGCGGCGTGGTCCTTCGACTCTCGTTCCTTTTTGTTTAGCGCTCAGATCGATGCAACGGCCACGCTCAGATCAACGCAAGCTCGACATACACGTCGTACAAGCAACGCTGGAAATCAGGGGGCTTTAGGGGCGTATGATGGCGTATGGGTATGGCTTCAGGTACTTTGTTCCAAGGTTTCATAATTAATGGCCAATACAATAGCGCTGGTCTACCTTAGTCACTTGCCATTGTGACCGTCAGCCAAATGCCTACATATAAGCATTACTTGGGCTGATTCAAACAGGATGCTCGATCCATATAACTATGACATCGTGACAACAACTCCAACAATGTCATTCGTATGACAGCACTCACCTTCCTACAAAACAGTGCTCTTATGACTCTTATGACCATGTGAATATGTATAGTTGTTAATTATTAATACAACTTGTTGTATGTTGTATATACATGATATACACTAGGCTCACGTGAGCTAGGACTCCCTGAACATACAGCAAAACCACAAGGCCTGTCTCGTTTGTACACCATGTGGGCTATGAAATCTTGTTTTCTTAACGTCTCCCCCGGTCAACCGAGTTTTTCACCAACGCGCGCCTGCAGGCCCCCGAACGCATCGCGGTTCTTCCGGACGCTCGAGGCCACGCTGGAGACCAGATCCAAGAGGTGAGCGTCCACCATGGAGATCTCATCCTCGGCCGCGCGCGGACGCCACGCACGTCGCAGTGGCGTTGGCGCAGCGCTCGAAATGCGTCGCACCGATGCGCACCCAATAAACGAGACCTATGGACCGTCTGCGAGTACTGTTCATTGTAGTAGGTTGTTCATCGAGCACCCAGTGGTTTTCAGGGGTTTATTGTGGTCCTCAGGGATGGAATACGAACATGAGCCTCTCACTGCTGCGAATATGAAAGCCTTCCGCAAACATGACCTGTCTGACATTTGACTCATCAAATGGATCACATTGGTGATGCTTCGTTTTGAGGAGGCCAATGTAATATATTGGAGGTGTCTGAGAACGATCTGAAGGTGGCATGAGAAAGATCCGCCTTTTCTGCGTTCATGGTCGTTGGTCCTTCGAACTCCAAACATGGGATCCAATTTTTTGTTGGACAGCTAGCAGGGAAGCCTTTGTGATCAATGAGTCTAAAGCTTACCAATCTTGAGCTACTGTAGCAGAGAAGCCTTGGAGAAATGCCTGACATGGGCACTCCAATTACGAACAACTACACTCCCTGAAATCCTCATGCTTGCGTGATGTTACGTGGATGGCATGGCCCCGAAGGCGACCCTCACATCCGAATACACCGGTCGTTCCCCTCCATGCTGCCGAGTTTCAATGATCAACACGCGTGTCTCTTCCCAACGTTTGACCGCCGCAGACTGCTGTTTGACCTCACCGGACTCGTTTGGCTGGTGAGGGAAATCCCTCTTCGGGTCCGGCGTCCAAGGTGAAACTACCTGTGAAACATCACTCGGTGAATTTCTGACCATCAGCCGGCTGGATGGTAGGTGTTTACTGCGGGGATTTAGGTCGGTCTTCAGGGGAAGAGATAGAAACCCCTATCTAGACTCATGATGTATATAAGGAGCTTATCTTATTACATCTTGGCTTCTTGTTACCAGATGTATGATGCCCTTGTTACTTTGAGGTAATGCCCTTCTTCCTATAGTAGCTTTCTTGTTTACCAGGCAAGGACCACTCTTCGGGTCGGATCCAGCTTCGTGCCTGCGACTAGATCGCTGGCAGGAGCGTCCATCTTGTTTCGAATCAGATCAGGGAATCAGGGGCATCTGCATCTACTAAAGTTCCGTGGCACGTGGCTGCTCTTCCATCCTTTCTCGGCTTTTTTTCCACTGGAGATGGGGACGTTTCTTCCAACTGGATGGCTTAACAGCCCACCACCAGACTCGCAGACTCGCAGACCATCCCGAACGGTCCACTCGTCCCGAAAGCCCCGTGGTGGTCGCGCTGGGGCCTTCTTCAAGGCCTTCACCGGGGCAGTCTCCACTCCAAAGCCCGCGAAGCTGTGAAGGGTTTGCCCTGCCAAGTGCCTCAGAAGAACGGGTCGAAAGGACGCGGAACGGGTCGAAGGGCCGAGAGCGAGCTCTCTCTGAGCTCGGAAAGGAGGGCTCCGTTCCGAAGCTATACTGGTGACTGAGTCAGCCCGGAAGGGAAAGACGGGAACCATCATTTTCCTGGCGCCCTCCGGTGTTTCCGAGTTCCACTAGTTCTCTCGTTCAAAGAGAAAAGCCGTGCCGATCGAAGGGTATATACCATCAGATCCTTGATCCTTGCAGTATCTTGCAGTATTTCCCGGTGTTTCATGAAGAAGTGAAAGCTCTTTCAGGATGTCAGGGTCTAAAAGCGTCGGAAAAACAGGTTAGCCATAGCCTTATAGCCATACCATGTCCAGGTATTATAAATTATACACATGCATGTATACTATTAATCTATACCCAAACACTCCATGGATGGAATATGGATGGAATATCATTGACCCCTGAAACTGCCACAATGTAGGTACATATGCTATATGAAGCTATATATGTCGATTTGGGATATAATATAGCCCTATGGCTAGACAACAAGCAGTTCTCTGGTGGTCAAGGCCACCGGGGATGTGGTGGATTCAGTCGAATGAACACCATTCAGCTGGGTCACGAGGCAGCGACACCAGTCGAGGCTGTCACTGCCACCTGCGGTGGAGCGTTGGAAAGGCTCAACCCGCTGCAGGGCCTTCAACTGAGACCTGCTGACCTGCTGAGAATCTACAGTCCCTGGAACAAAGTAGTGGTGACCACGGCGATTTCGACTCCAGGTGACTACGAAATCCGAAGACCAAACAGCTGATCCAAATTCACTCCATGAAACCATGATCTCCAACCTGCCTACGGTAGCGGCCTCCAACCTACTAGCGATGGCCTCCAACATCCTCCAACCTACTGGCGATGGCCTCCAACATGATTGGCTGGTACTCTGACCCAATCTCGACCATTTGCTTCAAGTCGACTGGTCGGCTGTGCTTGCAACAAAGCACGTCTCGTCAAAAGCAACAGTAGCTGCACTGATTCTTGCCTGCTCTGGGAACCGTTGCTCCAATTCCTGTATCAAGTAGCGAAGCAAGAAGCTTTTCCTCAGTCCCGCTGCTGACATCAGATGAGCTCAGTCTGCCATACATAGCTTCCAAATCACATCTGACGACAGCTTTAAATCAAGATAAAACTAAAACCTATAAGCCTATAAGCTCTACATTATCCCCCCACCCCAAAAATATCCACCAAAACACGAACAGAAAGACCTTCCACCAGCGGCCCTTCTGCGCATTCTGATTCTCCTCCTCCCTATCCTCCCCCCTCTCCACTCCTCGGTCTCCAGCCCAGTCGCCCAGTCCCTGCGGCTCCCGTGAGGAACAAGTTCTCGCCCCCCAAAGCGCGCTCCGCCGCCCGGCGCTGCTCGGGCGTGAGCTGCTCCGGGCGCAACGGCTCCTCCTCCGAGCAACGGCCGGTTGCGGTATATGATATTGCTCGGTAGTAGGTAGATATACCGTATATCCTATTGGTAACAGTGGAATTATGGTTACGAATTTGCAAGCTGTTGAAAGGTGATGGTCTTGGACATGTTTCGTCTCTATCACCCAGGACCCAATCCATGCGACGGGTACATGTACATTCATTGGGGTGGTTCAAATCCTGTCTGCATGATATGTTCAGCCACTAAAACCATGTCGTGTCTCGTGTGCGTCGACCACTTGGGCCTCTTCGAACGACCTGAAGAACAAGTGGAAGAATTCGGGGCAAACAACTTGTTGCTTTCCACTTGTCGACTGGCAATGCAAATGCACACGTGGTTTCTTGGAATGCAGTTTTTGTCCATTCCATGTAACTTAGATGATCTACAACTTTGGAGCTGGTCTCCCAGTACCAGCGTGTTGCACACTGGCCGGCCTGTTCATTTTGATCTCCGTATACCTCAAAGGACACCGAAACCAGCATGGCAACTGCCTGGCTTACCTTGATCCAAAGCCAGGTGAGCATCTCAACTTTATAAGGACGCTATAGAGGGACAACGAGCGACATGCGACAACGAGCGCCTGATGAACGTCCTTGCAAGACGGTCATTTGGGGAAAGAAACATATGAAGTCGGTCTGAAACAGTGAGATATGACATCATTTAGTATCTTTTAGTCTTTATATGTCTTTATTTCACTTAGGACATGGGCCAATCCCTGCCTTGACTGCCCTTGACTCGCTGGTCCTTGGCCGCTTGACTCTCATCCACCGGCTCAGCATCACCTCCCGGCGGATCCGGCTCCGACACCATCCCAGCGGGGCGAGACTGCGAACGAGGTGGCTTTGGCGTCAAACACACATTGACTGAGTTAAAGAAGCTCCGTGAAAAGTTCAGGCCTTCGGCATGATTGTTTTAGCTCTTTTTTTGGAACCCAACGGACAAGAACAAACCCAACTTGCACGTGCGAAATCATGCAAGCAAGAAGCTGATGAGATGGACGGACAAAACGATCTGCAGTACAGTAATGTAGAATCTCGATTGTATTTCACCCTCACCCCAAGACAATCGAGAATCTACACTAGTGTACTGGATACAATCAAGATCTCCCCCCAAAATCTCCCCAAGACATGGACTGAACACCATCTTCATTATGGGGCGACTATATGTGGCCATGCTTCCCCTGCCTTCTTCCTCCTTTGCAACTCGGGAAGGAATCCTCGCGCGGCGCTCGGGCGGTGCGCACCGAGTACGGGCGGAAAAAATAAGAAACACGACAGAGTTAGATATAGTGCCGCACTTAAGAGACAATTGATGCCGAGCAAAGAAAAGGAACATCCATATAGGATGAAGTAAAATGTTTGTATTTTTTTCAGAGGCACAGTATATTTCTGTGCAAAGGTCATGGATTCAATTTCTGTTCTCCAACAGCTACCAAGGCCTTGTACGATGCTCACGTGGCACAGGTCCACTTCCACCATAACAGCTTTTCTCAATGCCTTCCACTACTTCGATCCTGGCCAACCAACTTCAAAAGAAAACATCCTATAATCCCATGCCTCCTGAGTGCTCAGATTCCACGCATCTTGCAAAACCCCAAGGCTTCTCCTCCAACCGCGCTTCTTCCAGTTGCTCTTGGCTCCGCGCCACCCTCCGCCTCGTCCACCTCGTCTGCCCGGCGCCGTCGTCCGCTGAGCACGTGGAGCACGTGGAGCACGCGCAGCTCGCGTCGCCACTCGCGTCGCCACTCGCGTCGCCATGGCCCATGTGGAGAATGCAGACAGCAAAGTCAGCTAAGTCTCACATCCATGGCTTAGGTCCACTTCTAGTCCACGAGCTAGAGCAGGTGAAGAGAGGGTGTACGGAAAGGTGAATGAGGTCTCCCAAAAGAGTCAACAACCAAAATTAATTAAAGGCAGTGACAACTGCTGAACATATTTCTTTGCCCGCAGCGATTATTTGCACTTACTTGCCGGTATTCTGAAAAGTCACCGGCCTTTTATTGATTGGTTGCTATATTTCTGCCACCACGAACATTTGAGAACAGTTGAGCCAAGAGGACAAATCCATCATGAACCATCAGCAATCAACACAACATATAGACTCCCTGGAACTAACATGGAAGTGGATGGCATGGCCATGCATGGCCCCGTAAGGAAGACAGAAGGTGAAATCCACTTCTATGTCGTTCCAGCGAGTGGTCAGTGTGTCTTCTGTTGTGATACTGGACTTCTGTATTTTATGTGATACTGGACTGTGATATCTGTGATAGTGGTCTTCTTATGTGTCTTCTTTTGTGTCTTCTAATTCAACTTCAAGGCAAGTTATGAAGATTGGTGTGTGGGCAAGCCCAACAAAAAATGCAAGTAGCAGTTCAGCATGATCAAGGTGCAGCTTCCACAACCCACACAGCACTTGGACCCTGCCGGAAGATTCCAAAATCATGAACCCGTGACAACTGCTCTTGTCTCTTGGCGGCAGTGTGTCCATCACAGGCTTCGCTACATTTCAGTGGTAGTGTCACCGAAGGTCCTGAAACCGACACGTGGCTTGACAGTAGCTTGCAAAAATCTGTTGAACAACGAGAGCGATCATACTTCCTCAGAGCTGCGAAACCGTTGCAACCTTCTCGCGGTGAACAATGGAGAGCCGGAGCAAAAACAGCCTGGCGTCTTAGGCCAGGCAATTCCGATGAAATAAGACTATATATTGTACACAGGGGTGGCATGGCTGTTTGACTTTTGCTGGTCTAAGTGGTGATGAAAGAAATGGAAGGTGTTTGCACCCAAACAGTTCAAAGAGATTGATCTGTGTCAAACAGGACGCCCTCCAGCCATGGTGCCGGAGTTGAATTCCGAGTGTGCGACACGGTCAGCGCAAAGCACGGCAGTTGATTCGACTAAAGCAAGCGGCCAGCAGCATATGCAAATAGGATCTCAAAAATGTGGTGGAATGATGGAAGGACTTGCCGCTGGGTTGTAGACAACTCAATCATCTCAATCCAAAGAAAGCACCTGAAACATGGACTTCATGGAATAAGTGCTTCTTGGATCTTCTTGCGAACTCTTTATGTGAAGAGTATGAACACCATAATATGACATCAAATCTCCCTACATCTCTCAGCTGTAGCCTATCCTGGCTCACTCGCAGGGCCGTCGAACTGGAGTGTGGACACTACGCTGCCGGCTGCAAGGAGTTGGGCGTGAGGACGACGCATCCTGGCACCGGAAGCCAAGGTTGATGGGTGGAACCGGAGCAATTGCAACATTTACTGTAATGTTCTCATCCAACACACAAAGTCTGCTTGTCCTACAGTTGCCTTGTGAATTCTATCTACATTGAGCGTGGGGAATCGCTTCTGTGATCCAGCTCCCAAACGCAGGTGCTTCAGCTGTGCTTCGGAAAGCTCTGTGTCGCCCTTTCGGGCCCTTCGGGCCTTTCGTGAGCGTCGTGCGTTCGCTTCGCTTCGCGCCGCCGAAGGCGGGTGGCAGAATCCTGGCGACGAAGGGTTGCGTGGACGGTCGATGAGCTGGGAGGTGGGGTGCATGGAACACTTGAACAAGGGGCTTGCAAAAGCAGGATTGAGCCATCCCAACGTAGAATTGGGTGAACAAAAACCTCTTATTGTGATCTAAAACGGCTGGTAAACCAAAAGCATCTGCTATTCTGGGTCCAAATGAAAAACCGCTCTAAAAAGCATTCCTCCGTTGAGTTCTTTGTGGTTCAACCAGTTCAAACCGTCAGTCCATCACGACGAGTCGATCAGTCCACTGCCTCTGAGACTGCACAGGCGCTTCGCACACTGTGGGCCTCACAAACACAAACTGGCCATGAAACATGGGCATTTGTTGTGTACTGCATATATTTGCATATGCAATATGTATGTACTATATATTATATAGAGGTTGTTTCAGGGGGTCAAGTGAAGAATCTATTCCATAGATTGGTAATACATCGAGAGCTTGGGCATGGTGTCAATGATTCATATGACTTGATTGGATTTGATTGGAACATGTTCTGCGGACCATATACAGAAAGACCGCATCTGTCCAATTTTTTCATTCTTGTCCGACTTCCCTTAATTTCCACCTACAAAAACGGGTAGAACTTAGGTCGAACTCCTAGTCCTAGCTTCCGCAGGTCGCGGCCTTCTTTTGTGGGTGAGCGGCCTTCCTTATCCCACCGAAATCTGTATGCCACCGAAGAACAATGACCGAATGCTTCCTCGAAACACGAAACTGACGGTCACCAAACACTCTGCCCGATCCCCCCCATTCCGGCTCCAGATCCCCCCACACGCGACCAGCACTGGTGTGGCGACACGCGTCCTGCAGTGTGCGTGTCGCTTGGGTGGTCTGGAGTGTTTCGAACAGCGACGCCATCCGGCTTTGGAACAACATCTGGATGAGACTTGTTGGACAACTCCAGTTGTTTTGACAGCTCAAAACATGGTCAGCCCTGGTGTAAAGACTGTCCCTCCAAAGGAGCAGAATTGAATTTCCCTCCACGAGAAATCGAAGAACATATCCGGATGGAACATATCATATTATCTAACATTCCTAATTAAGCAAACAACGTTCTCAGTGCTACCAACCTTCCAGTTGTGACGCGGAATGGCTCCTGTCAACTGCCACTGGGGGTGGACGTTCGGGTCGTCCAGAACGTGGCTCCTGGCAGCAAGTTCCCAGCTGCACTGGCAGTGCCAAGCTGTTCCGGTGCCAAATCCCAAACACGACCAGTCCCAGGCACCCTGCAACATCAAACACCCCAAGTGATCTGGGAATGCAACCGGACTCGAACCAAACCAAGTGAGCCTCATGTTCATGACCGTGCGCTGTTCTGGTGCTACGTGGCGCGTGGCACATGTGCACCGGCCCCACCCCCCCGATGGCGTCTTCACTTCTTCCGTCTCCCGGCGTCTTCATCGGTGTCTCCGCCGATTCGGCCGAGAGAACTCCTGCAATCTGGCGGGCCGAGACGAGAGTGGCGGCACCGTCGGACCTGGAGAGGTGGAGAGAGGTGCGAAGAAAGACTGACAAGCTGTCAATACATTCGCAATATTTAGCTAACATATCCATAGTTAATCATTTTCATATAAAAACTGTTCATCATATGTCCAGTCCATATATTTATATGGTTGTATACGAACTATTTTAAAGAGTATATGCAATTACCAGGGCCAAATGATGATGATGATGATGATGATGATGATGATGATGATGATGATGATGATGATGATGATGATGATGATGATGATGAGGGTTAGTAAAGGCCTTTCTCTAAAATATTACAAAATAGTGGTAACTGTTGTTCAAGGTAATGGTACACACCCTATCCATATGTATGCAAAGAAGATTCAATAGAGTACCATGGGTATACCATCCAGTCAACCAGCAAAAGGAAAAGTAAACTCAAACCTCTGGATTCTTGGGTCTTATTTGGTTTAGCTGTATTCATACTTATCCTGTCAGAAATAACCACACCATGTCGCAACATGTCGCAACATCATGTGAGCAGCGGACAAAATTACTTGTGTAGCCAAATACCATTTGACATGATTATCGTTTTTGGTGGGGTCCATATCGTTCTCCAATGTTTCTCCAAACCGCAGTTAGCATAGCATACCGGCACATAGACTAAAACATAAAATATAACTCACAACCTCAGATTAGAGTCTTAGAGGCTTACAGTGCTTTCTGCACAGGAATGGGTTCTTGTGGCACTGGGCTGTGCAAGGATCACAACACATAAGCGGGGACCTAGTAGCTCGGCCCATGAACAAACACTAGTTACTAGTAATGTGGAGAAGTAGGTCTACGGAGTGACTGGCGCGACATTTAGGTTATCGTTTGCTTATCGTTTGGATTATCGTTTGGGAAGTTGTCTGGGGTTATCATTGGTGAAAAGTTGTGCCCATCGGTTTAGCTAATATGCTCAAATAAACATGCAAATGCAAATGCAATAACATATTGTAACCACAAACGTCTTTGTATCCACTACAGTACGTCTTAACAAGATTATCGTTTTTGGTGGGGACCATATCGTTTTCCACAGAAACGAAGCCCTCAACATAGGTTTAGGGTCATGCCGTGACTAAATAAGTCAACCAATAATTTTGTCCGTCGTTCATGTGCTCTTGCAAAGCCAAGGAGCTTGGCACCGCTGTGGGTGTGGCTGGCGGCGTCTCAAAACTGTGCCAGGATGTTGGGGTCAATGTCTGGCAATCGAAGCTCCTGAAGGCGTTGGTGTCGTTGGCCTTGTGACTTCTTTTTGATCTTTGGGGGGTGGCCACGTTCGTCCGTCCAACTGGTAACTACTGGTAGTCCTATATCATGACTATAACGGTCAGGTGCAGGGGAACACCATTGTTGCAATTACTGGGTAACTGGAATTGAATTACAGCTGTGGTATGGGTGCAAAAGTAAACTCAACTCTTGTCATCCTCCTTTGTTAACCCCCTTGGATGGGAGCTTCGGGGATCTTCGGGTTGCCATGTCGCAGTGCGCCATGGCAAACATCATCAAAGACTCCTGAGGAATAGATCTCCTGCAAAATCAAGGTTACCATAACCAAACTTTCCACCTGTTTACCTGTTCAAGCATCCATGTTGGTGCAATACTGGTGACATCAAGCTGTCCACCTATTTTGTTTAGTGGTGTCCCCAAGTCCCCCAAAAAGGTTGAGCAGGTGATTCGCCATGGCAAACAGAATGAGTTGTCCCTGCCACGTGAGCTCAGTCGTCCAAAAGCTTCGAAGGAGCTCAGTTGAAGCTGGTCGAACAAAAAAACGGCCACTGACAGGTGAATCTGTGACGCTCAGATCTTTCAAAAAGAGCACCGCTACAGCCGCCTACAGTGCAGCTACATTTGCAGGCTGTTTCTTCTAGAACTGCAAGAACTTCCAGCTTTGACGCGTGTCACAACCAGAAAACAATTCTTTTCACAGGCTCCACATCCGCATCAAACCACTTCAATCCACTTCATGAAACCTCTCTTGGTGTCCTTCCCCGCCTGGGCGTCCCCAGCTGCGGCACCTCCATCGGCCGCGCTCCGCGGAACTCTCCCGCAGCGCCGCGCTCGCCCCGCGGGCGCGGCAGCGGCGCCGCTGTGCGGGGCTCCGGCGTGAAGGCACAGCAGGGCGCAGGCGACTCCTGGGGCAGCATCGCGGGCAGGAACTGGCAGGAATGTGGTTCATCAAGGTTCATCACAAGCAAACGACTCTGTGTGGGGACTCGATTCTCTGAACTCGATGCTGAACTCAATGCATGCTTTAGTGCATGCTTTGGCCTGGGATGAATATGACGTCTCGGATGCTCCTTGGAGTGGTGTCGATGGATCCGAGCAGCGGGATGGGGCATCTTCTCTTCGCGCTTGGCGGGTGCAGTACGTCCACCACGAAGGTACTCTGCCAGCAATCGAAGCTCTTTCAACTGGGGTGACACTCCATCATCAGGCGCATGCTGCACATGCTGTGCCTGCCGAGACTTGGCAACGGTCTTTGACCCCGGACCCTCTGGGAAGGAATGAAGATGAGTGAAGCAACCACCCTGCGGACACGCTCCAGGTCGCCTCTGGGGGTAAGGGGGGTCCGCCCTATTCCACCCTTTCGACCGGGTCCGGTCGCCGCAGCTGACGCGGACCGCGGACTCTGGACGGGCCAACAGGGCTTAGTAGATGGCACCAGCAGCTCTATGACTATATACCCAAACTGCACAGTTTGCATGCTCAGGACATGCAGCCTCTGGACATACAGCCACGAGTTCGGAAGGCATGGCCACGAGTTCGGATACAGGATGACCATCCGAATACCAAACAGCGTGGTGACATCCAGTTCTATGATGACTTCAGGGATCTTCCATTTGTAAGCTCACAGGGCATACATGGGCCCGGTTCAAAATCTGGAGCCTTCGACCCCCCATGGCTAAAGGATACAGTTGGAATCATCACTAAAACTACAGTAATGGAACTTGGGCCATATTTTTTTGCTCATACCCAGATGAATTCAGCGCACATGTGGCTCTTTCCCTGTGAGCATCTCTTGCTTGCTTCCGATCTACAACGATCGGACAAGGGTGGCATGTGCCCTGCATGTTTGCACTGTACAAAGTCTGCAGCTAACGGACGCAGCTAAAAACTTGCATGAGCCACGCAAGTTGGGCCACACACGTGTTGGTAAGAAGCAGAACCACAAGTCACAGGGTGGCACGCTATCTGTACTAGCCATTCGATCCTTCTGGGTGCACCGATCGTGCATATAGAACCGTCGCACCGTCGCGATCTGACCGATCCCACGTAGCTCACCACATCACCACGGAGTCATCTTGCCTGGAAGGCCGTCAATCAAGATGAAATATGATGGAATCTTGCAAAACTCTTCATATCTCTTCATAACATCATATGGCTGGGTTTTATGAATGAAACTTCTACATGTCGATATGTCTGTATATGTCTCCCTTTCTCCGGGTTTGGTGCTTTTCGTGGTGCTCCTTGCAGTCAACCGAGGTTCGGTCTCCCTCACAAAGCCGTGTGACAATGTGATGTGTTGGGAACCCGTCATGACATGTCAGACATGTGATTGATCCATATCTATGCAGAATAGCGGCTACAAGACCCTGCCACTACTCAATCTTTCAAGCCAAATGTATGAACATTGCTGTGTTCAATAGCTTTTCTCTGTTTAATACCCTTTTTTTGCCTCTTGGGCAAGCATGCCAGCTGAAGAATGCGTTTCAAGCACCCAAACATGACCTGTCGCATTTTTGCTTTAGTATGGAATGTGTTCAATCCAACCAACCGTGCCCCTGTGCCCTTGCAAAGGATCCCCTGCCAGGCAGTTTTTCATGCGAACTCGTGTGGCCCACGGCCATGAGGCGATCGACATGGGTCCATGTATGTCCGGGTCCAAAGGGACAAGAACGGTCATGACTCATTATATTAGGAGGTATAGTAGTGATAGTTGTAGTGGTAGTAGGAGTTATAAGAGTAGTAGTAGTAGTAGTAGAAGTAGTAGTAGTAGTAGAAGAAGAAGTAGTAGTAGTAGTAGTAGTAAGTAGTCGTACGGATTTCGGACGAATGTGCTTATCGCCTCTTTGTGAGCCAACATGTGGTGCTTTGCTTGGTCAAACATATCGTGCAAAGTGCAAACATCTTTTCTGGATTGTTTTCCGTCGTTGTGCTTTGTGCGTTTCATGAAAGCTCCACCCTCTTTCAGCCACAGTGCTTCAGGACAGCAAAGCCACTTGCACTACCCACCACCTGCCGAACTTCGACCAATCCTCTCACGACCTCTTCAACTTGGCGGTCAGCTTGTCCATGGCCCCAGGAGACGACCTAAGACCATGAATGAGAGACCGGTCATAAGAGGAAATGCTTGCCATGAAGAGAGTTCCTCCGAATGGCTGTGCTCTAAGACTATGTAGCTCTCCGAACAGTGAGTTTTCCACTTCCATGTCAATCAGACTATCGCAAATCAGACTATGTTGTATCGAAAAAAAAAAAAAACATCAGAATATCAACAGGAGAGTACCAAATAGTGCTCCTCACCAGGCCCTTCAGCGTGCAGCCATTAAGCAGGTTACAAGCAGCATCTGTCCTGAGATAGGGTGTTTGAATGCAAATCTATGTCCGGTGCGCTGGCCCCTCGCGTTCCGTGAATGAAGCATGCCAACCGTCGCGGTGGCCGTGCGTGGCCGTGCGTGGAAGTGGCCGTGCCATCCGCTCGCAAAGCAGTGAAGGCGTAGTTGGAGGCACAAAGTTGGGTCACATCTCCTTGGGATGAAGGAGAAAGAAAAGGAACGCCTTGGGTCACAAAACACAACAAGGAAATACAAAACCCTTGGATGAGTTGGGTCACAAAAAACCAAACACACTCTATAGGACACACACACACTCATTAGCTTCGTTGGAAAAGGAACAAAACACGAAGAGGAACGAAGCTAACTGCTGTATGAGGAAGGAAGCTCTATCATCGTGAACTTAATTACTGTACACTAGCTATCTACATAGCAACATAGCAACATCCAACAAGGCAACATGTTCATGATGCAAAGGGCCGCCTTTGGTCCTTGAATGAGGCGAAGGGCCGCCGTTCCACTGGCTGACTTCATGTGTCCCGTCAGCCCCTGGCCCATCCACCACCTACCTCGCCTCACCTCTAAGTGGTGGGACTCCAAGCATTGGTGGATCTGCTGTGTGACCAACATGTCATACCAATAGAGCGAATGGTTCTTCTCCTGCTAAATGTTTCTTGGATCTTTGATCTTGGTCAAAACAAGTTAAACACCATCGCCAACCTTGCGTTTTCGCTGAGCAAATCGGCATGCCCTTGATGTAGTTACTTCTCTAAAAACACTGGATTTGAGCTCATGCTCCGAGGCTTCTAACTCCTCTCATTGGAATTGGAGCCACCTGTCCGATCGACAGTCTGTCGCGCAGTGCGCCCTTCCAAACAGACATATTGGGCACAGGAGGTTAGGTCATAGAGCCATAAGATAGTCTGCACCAGCAAAGACTGGCATGAAGATAAGGGATTCCTGTGCTATGCTGTGATTCTCCGCCATCTACCCCATCTACCGACCGCCAGGCGTCGGAGCTCCGCCGCCGTCGTCGCCGTCGGAGCGCCGCCGTAGCGGGGGTCGCCCCAGGCCACGACGGAACCCTCCGCCAAGCAAGCGGCAAAGGCACCGTCGGACGCTACGAGCTCACAGCAGTGGTGTGGCAAGGCTGGTGGTACAACACCTGCCGAGTGATGGGAAGGTAAGCAGAGTGTGAACCCAAGATGGTCGGATTGTTGAAAGGAAAGCTAGGCATGGCTAGGGCTAGGTTGGCAAGGTTGAGATATTCCAAACAAGTGTGACAAAATGTAAGACATTGTAAGACCACGCATGAAGAATGACTCAAGAATGACTCACATGATACAAAAACCATCAAAAACCTATCGAAACCCAATTCCTTGATGATTTGAGCCAAATTCCTCTCCAAATCGTTTTCCCAACTCTCCTCCAGACTCCGCAAGCCTGCCAGTTTTCCCCATGTCACCAGGGTTCCATCGTGTTTCACGGCCGAAAAGGCATTCCGCGAAGCGCAAATCTGATGAATGTCCTCCAGCTGGACAGCTCTGCTTTCCTGGACGGCTCGGAGTTCAAATCAACGGAGGTCAGAAGGCCCACCCCGTACAAGGCCCCTCAATCTGGGTGGTGTGCTATCAATATGTCAATGGATGGTAGGGAGACTCCAAGAAACATAACTTTCCAGAGTGGGCACCCAAATGTTCTGTGGAGGTTATCTGGTCGTTTCTCTTTGTTTTGTTCTTTCATGCTCCTCCAGACTGTGATCATTTTGACCATGTCAACGAACAAATCCCTTTTCAACAACTTTGGAAAAATCAAACTAAACCCTAAGATCCTGGCCCGGCCCACCATTCATGTATAATTAGGTTTACCGAACAAGCTTTGTTTTGTTAAGGATGTTACACTACAACACCAGGTCAACCAATTTGATAAATGCTCTTGGAAGGCTAGGGTAATTAGAACATATTAGAACCGTCCCCAGAAGCCTTGCCACGTGTTTTTCACCACCCGTCCCAGCCGTGGCGAGACTCTCCACCAGACACCACTCTGCCCCAAGTAATCACTCGACCATCTCCGCGCAGGGCAGAAAAAGCACGGGCTGTTGCGACAATGACTTTGATGTCCTGCCGTGAAAAAGAAGCTGGATGGAGTTCAAACATGTTCAAAAGATAAGACACCGACATCATCAAAACATTCCACGGGCTTTAGTCTTCGCTTTACCAGGCAGCGTGGGCATGGTTCCTGGGATGGTACCTCTGAAATCTCAGGCCTGTCTCAGCAGGTCTCTGTTCTTTCTTTCAGGCTCATCCCGTGCCTTGCCACGGCTTTTGACACAAATCCGCAAATCTACCCGGGCAGATGCATAGCTGGATCTTTCCAAGTATGCAACAACTATGCCGAACTTGGCTGGCGGGCTGGCGGTTTTACAGATGAACAATGATGAAAAGGGATACATGTTGCACACTAGTTGGAAGATCCAGGTATTGACCTACATTGACCTCTGGAATCAACCATCCAACTGATCGGGAGTCATACCAGTCCCAAACAGCTCGTGTCTGGAGAGTCTCGCGAAAAGGACGACCAGTGAAGCATCTCCGTCGCCCTGAGGGCGACCCCTCCAATGGAGAGGACAAACAAACCCTACGGAGGAATCACCGAGGTCTCAGAACATCAAGCGAGGTCGGGGCCCGCTGGGGTCCGACATGGCTTCGGTGGCTTCGGCCCCCGTTTGGGGGGCCGGCACGCCAGATCCTTAAGCCTTAAGACATGTGATGCGGATCTTTTTAGTCAACTCTGTGCATAAAACATCGCCATGAAACATCGAGATTCATGTAGTCATCGCGAGATATCGCGAGCAAAGAGCGTTGAAAAGAAGTGAATTCTGGAACTTGACACAAAAGAACGCAGGACAACATAAAACATGTCCAACGAAAAGGACAATCTGCTTGAAAACAACTACGAACATCTCCAAACACATATATCAATGATTCACCTATAAATGGTCACCCAGTGCAGTGCCGGTCTTCTCTCCTGCAGCTCCTCCTGCACGGCGCTGCTGTCCCCGCCACAAGCACCTTCACCCCAGGTCACCACCTGTCAAGTGGAGAATCAGCGATCGGCTTCTAGGGTCGGTGGCACCAAGAATCACCGTTCCGGGGGTTGATGCGAAAGTCATGTCCACCCTGGAAAACTGCTATGACGACCATGCTATACTAGCTGTTATATTAATGCTTTGAGTTCGAAAAAGACCTCGGTGGTCCCCACTTCTTCACCCTACGAGTATCTTTCGGGCTTTCGCTTCGGTGCTACTGAGCTCAACCCAGGCGCCGTGCCATCGGATTTCAAGGCGGCAAAGGAGTACTTGGAAGCGGTCACGGATTGGACGTTCACCAGCTGCTCTTGGACCTGGCACCGAGCAGCACGAACGTTCCACCTGGGTGGCGATGGACCCCATGGACGGTCCAGGAGCTTGAGGATGCGAACAGAAATGGATACTTATATAATATATATAGATTTGAATAGAATAGGAGGTTCTTCTCTATAAAGATATTCCATGATACTATAGTATGATACCAGTCACTAGTCTCTTATAGAACCTTTATAGAATTGTATATAGAGGTACAATGCCATAATGTAGAACCGCAGCAAACATGATTCCCAAACTCCAGGTTGAACCTGGGGAAAGGCCGCTGGCGGCATGATGAACCACTGGGTTTGCTGCGTCTGCTCTGCCTGTCTTAAGCGGTCAATGTGTTTTCGACATTTATGCCACCCCGCGGACATACTGCTGATCGGCAATCATTATCTGCACCAAGTTGGAAGCGATCTGTGTTCTCTTTCTTCAGAACATCCAATCATCTCATCTGTAGTGCCACCCTAATTACACAACTTGCCGCTTGATACGTACTCTGCGAACAATTACCTTGGCCAGCAATCTTAACTTAACATGCAGGCACTTTGAAGACCGCAACCCCCAAAAAGACGCACACAGTGCACACACAATGCACTAAATGCACGAAACGCACGCACCAGGAACAAGCATGAAGCGCTGTCGTCCCTTCTCTGTACACTTTGGCATCCGTTGCACGTGCGGCACGTGCGATGAATCGCTTGAAAAGGGCCTCTTCGGAATCGCCTCCATAGTTCGGCCATCCCCAAGAAATGACTTTGCCATCTGCCCGTCTTGCTGCAAAGGCATGAATCGTGGCCACCACTTCCTGGCCGTGAATCTTAGGTCGTGAATCATCGCGACATTGACCGGGCGAGTTGGTCGAAATGAATCTCCAGTCGCGAGTTCTGATGAAACCGAATGTAACTGGGTGTGGCTTAAAAGAATCGCTTGGCTCATCCTGTGGTGGTTCGCAACAACGCCCTTTTGTTGAGGAAGACCTGTATATCATCTTCTATCAATTTCTGCTAGTGAGACTCCTCGGGGCACTGCGCTGGATAGGTGTAGTTCTTTGTAAGGCTGCGAGTGAGAATTGAGCATTTTGCAACAGTAATTGAACATAATCTATCACTCGCAAACATTTTGCACCCGAATAGCTGAAACAACAACGTCTGCAATCTGCTTACGTTTCCTGAAACTGTATAAACCTGTTGCGTGCAAACAGGACATGCCGCAAGCCTGGATCTGAAACAGTTGCGCAGCGACCGTGTAGGAATTCCCTCCTCAGAGACACATCAATGTACACTGTTGCTGTCTGTTTTTTCATGTGAAACCTGGCACTTTCGGTCGACTTCCCTTGTGTCCAAGTCTCACGCAAACGGTATGGGCGCCACTTCACAGGTCTGTCCTCCCGAGACTCAGAGTTCAGCAATGTATGAACCACCAACAAGTGGCATATGAAGAAACGGCCACCCGACGGTCGCTATGAAGAAGCTATATTAATACAATATATCTATAGCCGATGTCAGACCCTCCGTTCTTGTCGCACACATCAAAGCTCCATGTCAACCGGGCAGCCAAACCACTCCGAGGCTCCGGAGCCATCGCTGCCCCACGTCACGACCTCACCGTTCGAGACGATGGCAGCCACAGCCTGGCAAGCGGTGGTTTGAGCCGGTGCAATGGTGCATGGCGAGCGCAACGAATGGGTTGGCATGGCGAACAGGAGGCAAGGTCGAGGACAGTTCGAGGACGGAAGGGTTCGGTCCTGGAGGCTTGGTAGTTGGGCCAGACTTGGAATGCTTTGGTAGTTGGGTCAGACCTGCACCTGGCGGTCCAGGGACCCGAAATTCAGCCATGCCGCGGCTGTCCAGGAGTTCTTGCTGGCACGTGAAGATGGTGAAGGGTGCGACGGATAAGAAGGGAACCCCACAAATTCTTAGGGATCCACGTACCCTCTGAGAAGGTGATTGGAGACACTGTTATGTAGGTGCCAGGAGGGTCCAAATACCTTCTGAGAAGGTACGACTGGATCCCTATAGGGAATGTGACGGGGTGGGAGGGGTGGTGAGACCTGACATCGGTATGGATTTCGGATGTGAACAAAATACATTGAGTCTGTACTACATCTATTGGTCTTGCATGGTCTTGCCGAGGAAAGAAACGATCCGACTCACTGCAGTTTTTTTGATGATGTTCCTCTCGGATGAACAAGGTGGGCAACAAAAATACGTCTCTAAAACATATACACTCCCTGGAACTAACATGGAAGTGGAGAATGGCCCCGTAAGGAAGACCATGAATTCCACTACAAACAGGTGGTGCCATCCACTTCCAGTTCTAGGGAGAGTATCTCGGCTGTTTTCAGACCGAGCTCGGTCCAAGGTGCTGCTTTGTTGGCAGTGATGTGCTGAACATCGACCAGCTTCCTCCTGGGCAATCAGATCTTTTGTGCTGCTTCGACGGTGAAAGCGATCTCTCAAGGACGACGTGTGAAGGAAGCCAAGCCATCGTTCCTTTACAGCAAAGGACGAGCTTCTTTTCAGTGTCAATACAGTGGAGTGGTCCATCGGTGGTCCATCTGAAAGTCAAAATGCCTTTGCCGCTCTTGAGACATCAGCGAACGGATCAGGGAAATCTGTCTCGAATAAAACAGGGTATTGGTGAACCTCATAATCATACCCGCAAAATGTCCTCACCGGATTACTGTATCACTAAGTACTCCTGAGCATTTCCACTGTCTCAGTACATGAGAATCCATCTAGCCCTACATCTCGGCCCTATCGAATCCTCTCCCTGGCCCCTTTCTGGAGCGAACACAGCGAGCAAGGTCAAATCACCCTCAGGACGTGTTCGTTCGTTTCGATACCACCCCAAACCGCAACACATCAGGAGGTGCTTCGGCACATGACAGGATTTGATCGCGACCCCCAAGCAATGAACACGCGACATTGTTGTACCGGCTGCCGCTGGCTGCCGATACCATCGTCGACCCACGAACAGACGGAACGGCCGCCAGGTCTCTGGAAGGGTCCATCGATTCTCCAGCGACCCCATGCATGCACCTGGGCGGGTTTTGTCACATATCTCTCACATTGGGCACCACACTGGCGGCATAAGCAGTTCGTGTTGCTTCGCATCTTTGCGGAAAGTTTCGATCCCAAAGACCAGCTGAGCGAAGAGGGTCGGGGGGTCAGGCCATCTGGCGCGTTCGCGTTACGGGATGTTACGGTGATCTAAAGCACCTTCTCCCGGATTTGGGGCATATGAGAAAACATGAGAACACTAACCATTGTGATAAACATGAGAACATTTTGGCACTGCTCAAGAACGATTCTGCAAACATGTGAGGTGCAAACGACATCCAAGATTTCTTCATGTTGAACTTGAGAAGCCTCACACTCTTGTCGCGTAGCGTAGCTTACGCGGTGCCGTGACGGATCCAAAAAGCTCCAGTCCCAAAAGAAAAGCACGGAGCATGGGTCAGCCTGTTGACTTGCCAAGAAGCTGTGCCATCAGCCTTTATCAAGGCAAAGTCATCACAATGCCGACTTGCCACAAGCCTAGGAACAGTTCGGCGACTTGACGTGGCAAGTCGAACGCATCTCATGCTTAGCATCACATGACAGTCACAACAAGCACTCCATGTGAGTCATATATGCCTATATACATTGACCCCGGCATGGCACCACCCCAATGAGCTCTCTGCGTAACAACCAGCATCTCACCAGCCATGAATGCGCAGCACTTCGATTGACCGGGTCTTCCCGTCACGGTGGGAGACGTAGGGATCCACTGCCACCCAGACGAGAAGGTGAGGAAGGAGACACTATTAGCCATGGAAAGCCATGGAAACCTTCTGAAGAAGGTGTGTGGATCCCTAGGGTTAGGCTTTCTAGGTATGTTGTTGAAGTATGTCAAAGATCTCTGAAAGATTTGGTAGCTGCGATGTTTGACTTCTCTGTATTGAACTTAAACACTTTGACATACTTTAACAAACCAACGAATAGGATACACTAGGTCCTAGGTGTAGTGTCCAGCTGTTCCATGCACAATCTTCGAGCATTCGTCCATTTGCAGCTCTAAATCACCGAACTGTGAACCTGATTGATCACGAAGTGACCGAACCTTTTCATTGCCCCGGGCCCCGGTCACGTTGGGTGAGGCCTCAGAACCCAAAACAAAAGGACCGTCACGGTGCGACCGCGACCGATGAGACGAACAGGATTCAGGACTGAAGAAGCGAAGAGGTACCGGTAACCGTAAGGTATCTGTTTGAGCCACTCGAAAGAAACCCCGACGCAGAGTCACTCCGGTTTTATGTCGTAGCACTTTCCGGTTTATTAGTCACTCCGGTTTAGGCCGGAGGTGGCTCATTTGTTTCATGTTGGCAACAAGTCACAAGTACTCTATGTATCTGCTATGGATGACACTGTTCTTCAGGCCGTAGAAGTTCAACGAATTATGCCACATCTCTCGCTATTTTGACAGACTTTGCTCCAACCCTAACCTCGTGATTCATATAATTCCAACATTCCGAGTACAGGTCATCAGGAGATACCTTTCGCTGCAGGGTGCCCGTGCAGCATTGGCCTACAGGACACAAAGTTGAATGACGATTGTACCACCTAGGCATGTGAAAGCCCATAGCTATGGGATCAGAACGTCCATGCGACTGCTCACATCTTTTGTATCGCCCATGCGCGACCCCCATTCTTTGGATTCCTTCGTCTCCACCAGCCTTCACCTGGACACATGGGAAAAGTGGTCATGTCACCAAAACTTTTGCGGCCGAACTCCGCCCGGGAGCTGTGCGCTGCCAAGGACAGCCAGTAAATCCTCGCCGTCTTTGAGGCCGTTCTCATCCAGAGTCCCTGCTGCCAAGGCCTCACAAAATAATCGGATCGATTCTCAGATTTCTCTCCGAGCAAATCGGATCATCTCAGGTTTCTCTCTGATCACTGGAAACGAAGAAACACACATAAAAACATGCAAAACACCTGTCGACGTGTGAAATCGCGGTTAGCATGACTTGACAAGGTATATATATATATATGTATCTGAGTTGTTCGACAGTGGCAAATCATTCTTGGAAGGACATCTTGAGGATCATGTGCTGTCCAATGCAAGATTAATCAGCTTCAACAAGTCTGCGACGTCAGCAAATTCCGAAATTATGAACACCAACTCGCAACAAATGCTTGTCCCGTATAGTCAAGCTTTGTCCAAGAAGCGTGACCATGGGCCACAAACTGTCGGATGGAGATGCCTCTCTCCTCAAAAACGGCCACGTCAAACAGTCGGTGTTTGTCATTTCAGCACGAAACCCCCAAAGACTCGGCAGCAAGTCTTGAGAGGCACCTTCTTTCCCCAATGGCTTTGCGGCTTGGAGCATCTATAAACTAACATACTGTAGGTACCGTTCTCAGGCATAGGTACTATACCTTCACCATCAACAAACACCATCAAGAACACCTGAGCACGGACAAGCCCAAAAGAACGGTATGGAGATAGTTTGCCAGATTGCCAGAATCACAGGAAAAGTGAAGGCAAATGAACAAAACTAAAACATGTTCACCAGGTTAGGGGATTCACCCAGTTTGGGAAAATACACCATCTCCTGATTCGCAAAAACCAGGTCCTTCTGCACCTGCCATCTCAACTCTTGTATTTTGCTCTCTGGCGAGGCTGCAATGGAGAAGCTGCGTCCACTTAGCAGTGTCACGTTGAGCACAATTGTCATGATGCCGGTAGGAGCTTCAGTGCCAACAAAGAGTGCTGCCTGTATGGATATGGGGTCACGAATTTGTTCTTAAACGCCTTGTTGCCAATGCCGCTCTGGCTCTTTCCAAGAAAGTCCAAACTCGCAAGGGCAATGATAGTCCAATATGGGTTGAATATGGGTTGGAATTGGTTTTCTTCAGTTGTTGGACTCTATCTGTGAGCCAAGATGGCCAAGATAGAAAGCCATGACATGCCCGACCGGCCCTCCAACAATCATGCAAGTGGAAAAACACCAGCACCAGGTGGAAATACTGATATGGCCGTGGCTCAAAACCCGGGGACCCTGGTTGACCACCGAAAATGAACAGAATGGACCACTGGGGAGGTCAACCTACGCCAGGGTCAACGGGGCTCCGGGTGCCATGACCCACAGCCACATGATTTGCAAAGGACAACCGTCCGCGCTTGGCCAAAACATGAACTGAAAAGAGAGCAGGAAGTGGATCAAAACATCCCAAAACCTGCTATTTGTAGATGATCTGCAGTATTTGATGATATTTCATGCTTTATGGGATGAATTTAGCTATGTTCAAGGGAGAAGAAGTCTTCAAGCACAACAGATTCCAACAGCTGGCATCACATGGGGCCGTCCAACCAGTCCATGTCGACCTCGGACACCGATCGGTCAGTTCCGATCGATCCGCCTCCACCACATGGCGCAGCCGTTCCACATGCTGCCGCACGTCCGCTACAGTGCTGGTCACATCCTCGAGGTGTGGTGACCAGTGCTGGTCACGTTGCTCTAGACATCACCACTAAGCACCAGGTGAATTTAGGTGGCCACTAGCTAGCATAGACCACTTGTTTTTGTTTAGCACGTTGGTCACCACTTGCTAATATCTCACGCAATCGTTCCAAAATGCCTTTAGAAGCCACCTTTCGGTCTTTGGAGCATTTTTGCATCGAGGTGGTGAACGGAACGACCCCAAACATGTCCGAAGCATCCGCCTTTTTGGGGCGACACTGTCCTACCTCTTCAGTTGGGTGGTTGGGTCCCAGGACTGGGTTCTGTTCGTCCGGTACGACTGGGGTGGAGGGTCTCTTCGTCAACGAGAGACCGATCCTTCTCCAGGCGAATCCATCCGACCCTCCGACCCACCGACCTCAACTGCTTTAGATCCAAAGATGTCTGGTCTATCCAAACAACCCATGTTGGAGTGGTTTCAGGGATCAATGTAGGCGTATCTGTTGGAGATATACCATTACCAGTGGATGATGCCGCATAGTAAAGGCCATTCTCAAAAATAGTCATAAGATGTCATAAGCTCTTTGTTCATCCTTTTGGACTCTGGCACCCTGCATATATGCGATACATAGTGTCTGAGTCAGCAATCATAGCATCCCAAAATGTAAAACACATACAGTGGCGACTATTCTACGAACAACACAACAAAACACATAATATTTGTTTGAACGCACGCGTGAGGTGATGCGGTTCGGCACGCAAAAAAAAACTATCGCCTCCATGTTGTGCTGATCTTCTCGATGCTTCCGCATCAGCTCAGCACATTCTGCGCGCAATTGTTGAAGCTGCCACCCCTCATCCCGCCTGCCCAGGCCAATCAGAATCATCGTTCTATCTACCCACCCTGCCAACGCTGATCACCACGGTCGACCTACAAAAGTGGTCCATCTATGGTCCATCTATGGTAGGCTTAAGGTACTCCTGCCATACTCCTAAACAAGCTCAATAGTCAAAGTTAGGTTAGATATCGCAAAACAACTCAGTTTCCCACTTTGTGAGGCTTCCCACCTCCATTGAGAAGCATGCACTAGAATCACTTGGCGTGACACATGTGCTGGGTGCCCATATACCCACTGAAAATGGCCGAATCCACGCCTCCCTCTCACTTCAACAACTCTCTTTTGATCTCTTTCAGCCAGGAGTTCCTCTCTCTCCCTCTCTCTGCATGAAGCGCGCCAAGAAGAAAAAATGCCCGGCCGAATGGGTGGCCAAATGGCTAGCAATTGCCCCGTCTCTGCTCTGCTGGCCGCTCTGGGCGATACTCGAGGTCCTTCGACCTGGCCAACTCCGTCCAGTGGCTGAAGCGATTATAAGAGCTCTGCAGTTCTTCAACATATTAACCTTACACTTTACACCTCCAAGTACCTCCTCAGAAGGTATGACTGGACCCTCCTGGCACCCACCCCAGTCCCACCTTCTCAGAAGGTACTTGGAGGCCTAGGGTAATAGATGAGATGACGCTGAAATCGTCTTTTGAAGCATGTTTCGTAGCCTCTTAGTACCATGCAGATTTGAAGGTTGGAACTTCGGCCAATGCACTTGCTACAATCAACATGGGCACACTGGACACACCACACCTGATTTGGATTGGTGACCACAAAGTCTGAGCGCGGAGTCAAGCTGGGAGAGATCTCTGCAACTGCCGAGGGCGTGGCTCGCGTGGGTCGTCAAAGACGAGGTGCAGCGAAGGTACTGACGACTTCTGCTCTGCTCTGATGGGTGGCTTCATCTTTATATTGGTCTTTATCAGCTAAGACAGAGGTTGAACAAAAAACAACATGTTGCTTGAAACTACCAATCTGCAGTCTGACACCCAACATCGGCGCAACATAGGAGCAATCACGAGCCCCATGTCCTTTGTTGATCCAAAATGGATGGCACCACCACCTCCAGACCAAGGTGTTTCAGAATTGTTCAGAAACAATTCAACACATCGACCGAGATCCCGCAGAGATTTGGTGCCTAGTTCTGGCTCACTTTTTTCGATGAGTTCCATCAAGCGTCTGTAGTCTTTGCTCAGTTTAATAAACCTCAGCGGAGAGGCTGGCGTTAAGGCTCGGGCCAAACTCAACATGGGGTTGTATCCTAATAAAACCAATGGGTTTGGATATATATATATATGTTTCCGTTCTTCAAAGATCTTCAAAGGGGTCTTCGGGAGGTCTCCCTGTTTTACTAAACACCCACAAACAAACGAGCCGTCACAGACCACGTAAATAGGTTGAGCCAATGTTGTAGTCCCAAATCCATCGCAAAACCATGGTTGTTTGGTCAAAACCACTAAATCACTGGTTGGATTTTTTCCAACTTTTCTTCTTGCGCTTGCCAAAGATTTTGTGCGTTTCCACCTATAATTCCTATACTTGGGGTGGTGGGAACCGGATGAATTGGAATTCATCTCTTTGGATCATCATCAATTGGATGGAATTCTGCTCTTTGACGTCTTTGATCTCTCTTGAACAATTTGGATCAGTTCATCAATCCACCTGTTCTTTGGATTTTCATCTTGAAAACACATCTCTCTTCGACCCGAAGAAGAGTGACGCACCTGAGAGCCACATGGTCCAGCACTATTCAGCATGGCTCGGAGCCACTCTCTGTAGGCTTCAACTGAGGTGGTTTTGGGAAGGAAGACGAAACACAACCGGAACAAGTGGCATAGAGATAGCACAAACAAAAAGTGACAAAACCAAGTGGATCAAAGAGTTGCATTGAGACTGGTGGAAGCGTTCCTGTCAGCATTCTCTGCCTTTCTCACTCCCTGACTCGGGCCCACTCAAGAAGGATACTAAGGATATATACTGTTCTTGAAACACTGAGTTTCCAAAAGTTCACAGTGTTCACAGCGCATTGTGCGCAGAGTCGCTTATGCTCGACCCATTGCGGTAAGCACTAGTCCCGAGCACTAATCCCGAGTACGCATTAAAAAGCGGACCCCAAGAAAAAGAAGTCATGTCGGACCCCCCTAAGTACGGCTTATATTTGTTTTTGATTTACCGCCCTCAAAGCCGCTACTAAACTACCGACATGGCCGATTTTGGAGGAGTTTCTCTTTAGGTTCCAAAAACAATCCGTAACTGCCCACCTCTGTCTTTCCACCATGACACGCCGTGTTTACACCAGCAGGGTTTCCTTCCCCCAATGGCACGGACTCACGCAAACGCATTTTCCACCGAGGTCACGCAAAACAGCATGGCACAGCGACATCACCTTTCGAAAGCTTTAGTTGTTAGTCTAATGAAGAATCACTATTCTAATAAAGGTTTTTGAAGGGGAAAAGGAAGAAAGACCCTTCGATCTGGAGGTGTTTTTTAAAGTAATTTGATACGAGTGTAATAAAGGATTTTATATAACACTTTCCTGGGTGACTTTCTGGTTTTTGAAGCTCTTCCCAGGAGACCCTATTTTGGACCACCCGAATTTCAGGGACCCCCTGTTAAAAAAAATGCGACCGAGGTTTCCTTATTAGGGGGGGCCGGCGTGTTTCTTAATAGGTGGACAGGATTATGTAAAACGCTTGAACCCACCAGAAGACAAGAAGATGCCATTCAAGGTTCCCCCCAGCTTCCAGCAGCACCCCCAACTTCACCGGACAAACACAGGGACATGTGGACGATTCCAACTGTAGCGTTGCGGGGTTGGAACGACCGCGGCGTCCGGTCGCCGTGACTCCCTCGAGGCCGGCTCGCAAGCCAAAGAACTCCAGCTTCAATTGCCTGCCCGGCGAGGACCTTGCGAAATGCGGCAGGCGGGAGCCCTGCCATGTTGGAAACCCAGCATCCCATCCGAACCACCTGGCTGGTGTTATGCAAACAAACACGCACAGTTGGAAGATCCAAATATATCTAAGACGTCAGACGAACCAATCTCGGGGCCCTAACAGAGTGCTGAAGGGCCTCGGGGGTCCCGGAACTTGGAACCAATCAAAATCAACAAAAAACATAGAAAAGCAAGGCACAAACTAAACACAACGGTTGGCTTTTGCGCCGGATCCAACCAACGGGATCCAACACATCTCCGAGGGACACAGCGCGGGAACGTCGTTCAGCGGCCGAAATTGGACCGGATTCCATGGCACTGACGGTTGGCACCGTTGTAGAAAGCAACGGTCCACGAACGAGGACCAGCCACACTGAAGAGTGGGTCTAGCAATCTCTCGTTTGGAGAAACACCGTCTTTCGGAATTCGGCCAATGTGCACATGTGGTTCACCCGTGCGACGACTGGGTGGTGTCTTGCTAGAT